GTGTGTGTGGGTGTGTGGGTGTGTGGGTGGGTGTGGGTGTGGGTGTGTGGGTGTGGGTGTGGGTGTGGAAGGAGGGTGCTCTGTGCTTGGCTGCAGAGATAATGATGAAAAATGCTTGTTGTTGGCACCAGTGGATGAAGGGAAGGGAAATTCCCAGAGTTGTTGGGGGTTGGGCAGGAAGGTGAAGAGAAGCAGGGTGAGATTATTGCCAGTCAGGGCATCAGCTTCCTGCTGAGGTGGCCTTTCTTATGTAAGGGATATCCCTAAATTAATGGCTGCCTCTTCCTGGGGTGGGGATTAAGGAATGTTAATTATATAAGGGGCTGAGTTTGAAGTCTTGTAACTTTAACTGTCTTCTCACCCCAAATTAGCTGGAAGACAGCTTCATTCAGGAGTGTCAAATCTCTTGTTAGAATTTTATATTAATTTGACAGTTCTCATTGAACGAAGACTCAACAAGTTTTATTGCTTTTTAAAAAAAATCATTTGTTATGTTGGCAGTAACTCATACTATCTGAAGTAGTTTAGTTGAATTATGGTTATATTAACTGCTTTCTCTTGAGAAATGGTTTTAATTCTTCTGGAATCCAGATTTTTGGCTTTCATGGAGGTTGAGGCAACCCAGCCAGGTCATTGCCCTTAGGTGTTTTTTTGAACCTTGAGCCTTGAAGAAAATGGTCTCCTAAAAGTCACTTTTAAGTCAAACAGTGGTCTAGATATACTAGTAAAAACCAGCTTGCCTGAGGCATTGGGCTCTTTTGAAGAATTATCTATATGGAGTCAGTTTCCAGGAACAGAAACTCCTAGATCAGACCAGAAGCTGTGTTTTAGGATGAATTGTTATTACTTAAATACTGTTCTGGAACATTTTTGACTCCCTAGTCAAAATGTTACCCCGATTTGGAAATCATATATTAAATAAATTTCAAATCAGTTTCTATTATTGGCTTAATATGATTTTTAACACTTCACACTCGTAATTGTTCCTCCTCTCTTTTTCACATGTTTTACTGGCATCTGTGTTCATTATCTTTTCTGATTTTTACAACAGTGGGTTAGTATCATTTTCATCACTTTATAGATGAAGATAAAAACCATTTTTAGAATTGCCCCATTGGGTTTCCTATGCCGTAATCTTGACAGAAGCAGACTGTCACATCTTTCTCCTGCAGAGCAGCTGGTAGGTTCGAACCACCGACCTTTAGGTTTAAGCAGCCAAGCGCTTAACCACTGCGCTACCAGGGCTCCTTATGATGAGGATAGTAATACTTAAAATAGTAAATCATATGTGACCCCTTAGTATATTTACCATTCACTGTAATAGTGCTTTATCTTTTTTGCCGCATTTAATCCTACCAGTAATCTTGAGAAGTGGTTATTACCAGTCCCATTTTACAGATCAGGAAACTGAGGTATAGAAAGGTTAAATAATTTGTGTAGGATCACACTGGATTAAGTCACAAAGTGAATTTGATCCTGTCCCCTAAGGCCTCTTGAGAGAGAAACAGAGCACACAGGCCACCATTCTTGTTTCTTTGAAGAATACCCCTAAGTGAGAAGGACAAGCATCCATAGGATGTTTTTCTAAAGAGATGTTAAAGCTGAGGCTCTAAACATTAGGAAGGCTTCCCTGAGGTTCTCTTCTAGTATATTTGCTTTTGTTTTGTCTCAAGTTTGCCCTTGTGACATCTGTTCTACCTATGTATCTTTTATGTACCTCTCCTGAAAGTGAAGAGGACTTGAAGCACTTACTGATGAAGATCAAAGACCACAGCCGTCAGTATGGATTACACCTCAACATAAAGAAAACAGAAATCCTCACAACTGGACCAATAAATAAGCAACATCATGATAAATGGAGAAAAGATTGAGGTTGTCAAGGATTTCAT